CTGGCCCTGGCTTTCAAAGCATCAAAAGTAGCATTTTCATAGTCCTCAGCTGAAGTGCCCAAGTGCTCATCATTGTGCTGTTGGCATTCCACTGGCAGCCTGACTTGGGGTTCTGGTGGCTGGGTGGCAGCATGCTTGTCTTCAAGTGCCAATGCAGCTTGCCTTGGCTTTGGCTGGAAGTCTTCCAAAGCCTGTTTCTGCTTGCCAGGTGACAGCTTGATGCTGCTAGAGACTGTGGGTGAAGCCATTGGCTGTGACCCATTGCCTTGCATGTAGCCCATGTGCTCTTTCATGGATTGGAAGAAGTTGGACATTTGCATCATCATTCCACACATAGCTTCAGCCTGCATAGCATTGCTGCCACTTCCAGAGCTGACATGCCCTTGGTCTGGCTGGCTAGATGCAGAAGGGGTCTGTGTAGCCTTCTCCCTCAGAAGCTTGCTTGTGGACCTCAGTGCAATGTGCTTCAGAATGGGCTTGATTTGCTCCAGCTGCTTGGGTGATGGCATCTTGCCATGGTAAGCTGCTTCTGCAAGCTCACTTGGCAGCTGAGTGTGGTTCTCTGGGAATTCCTTGACATAGGGCAAGGCATCAATGCCTTCACAGGTTGTGGACATGAAAGTTGATTTCAAGTCCTGGGCCATCTGGTTGATCAAGGTATGATCTGGAAGTTTGGCCACATGGCACAAGAGGATTGCCACACCATGCTTGGCAGTCTGCTCATGCAGGCTTCTAATCCCCAAAGACCTCCACCTTTGGGCTACACAGTTCAACTTGGCAATGTAGCTGGCATCAGGGGAACCAATGGTGTCCCAATCAGAGTGGGCCAGGTAGTTCTGAAGGTGGATCAACTTGTGTGGTTTCACAGCCACAGGCATGGCATTGGTGGTAGCCCCTGCAGCCAAGGCAGTGTCAATGCTGTTTCTCAAGACATCCTTGTAATCATTCTCCAAGTTGGTGCCCTTCAAGCAGTCATACAAGCTTTGGGCTTCAGCAATGGAGCACACTAAGCTGCCCTGGATCTTCTTGGACAAGTTGCCAACCAAAGCTGCTTCTTTGGCTTTGTCAGCACATGTAACAGCATTGTTGAGGCTTTCTCTTCTTGCATTGATCAAGCCACTCACAGCACTGAGCTCTTTCTTCAAATCAACAACATTCATAGCTCTAACTCACTGCAAACTAAATTGCACCAGGAGGGATGCCTGGAGCCCATACACCCTGACAGCCACACAGCCCTTGCATCAATGCAACAAGCAAACTTATGCAACATGCTTTGCAAACCATTGCAGTGGTTGGATCTGAGTCATTGATGGGTGGTGCAAACACATGCTTCTTCACATGCCAGGAGCCTTGGCAAGCCATACATCTAGGCTCATGGCAATGTATATCATTGACATGCAGCCATGTTTGACTGGCTCACAGCCATGGCCTGTGGCTCAAACCTAGTGATCTTTTGGCTTATTGCCATGGCTATTGGCATTTTTTTGATAGCCAGAAATATTGGCTGATAGTCAATGTTTCTTTTTGGCTAGCAACACCAACAAGAATGTGCAATGTACTTGAACAATTTTTTAAAAAACACAGTAGGCTCAAGATTGGATGCTTGGTTTCATTCAAACCAAAGTATTTTCTTCAAGCATGGAGACCATAGCGACATAGTGAGCAGCAGTGCAGCACTGTGTTCCTTAGGCCACCATCAAAACTCAAGTGAATGAGGATTCATTCCCAAAAAATGTAACCAAATCATATGCTTTGTGAATAAATATTCCTGAACAATATGTACATTGGAAATTCAAAATTTGAATTTACTATAATATTTGTTGAACCTAAATTCAAAATTTGAATTTAATGCATCCAAACAAGGTATCTAAATTCAAAATTGGAATTTAAATGCTCAAAAAGGAGCTGCAAATTCAAATTTTGAATTTTAAGCACCAAAAAACAGCCTTAAATTCAAAATTTGAATTTATATGCAACAAATGCATTTTCAAGTTCTAAACTCCAAACCATTGACACACAAGAAAAAATATAGTGAAACTAAACATTTTTTGGCCAAGTCACATTGACTTTTGGCTCTGGCAACCAACTCCCTGAACTTGTGGTTGGTCATGAACCTCATGGATTGCACAGTGCTTGGAACATATTGGAAGACACCACCAAAAACATTTTTTCATTATTTTGTAAGAACAGCAATCTGAACACACCAAACTCAACTAATAGATGAGCCATGTCAAGCAACTTGGAGCATAGTGCAGAACACCTGTCCCAGTTCTCTGCCAAGTAGGCTTCCACAAGGTAGGCAGCCTTCATTTCCCACCCCTTGTTGAACTGAGGGTTCCACAACTTGTTTTTTCCTTTCTCCTTGCCATGGCCCTTCTTGTATCCCTTGTTGGCATTCCATTCCTTTTCATGGCCATAGGAGCTATCAGTCACCCACTCCTTGGACTCCTGGTCATTAGTGCCATATTCATGCTCATCATTCTTGCATTCCTTGGTGTCATAGCCATACCCATAGTTCCAACTATCATCCCAGTCATCTTCCTGCCATTCCTCTTTGGTGTCATTTGAGTAGTAAGTTTCCCACTCTTGGCCTTTTTGACTTGCACCCCTGACAGACCATGACTGTCTCCACTTGCCCCAGTCCTCTTCATCATCATAGGTTTGGTCATGTTCTTCTGGACTGTCATGCACTTCATATGCCTCCACTTTCACAGGCATGCTTCCAGGCTCACTGGCAGCTGTGGGTGCATGACCTTCCACTGGCATACTTTTGGGTGGTGGAGTCTTTGGTGGCCTGGGTGTCAGAAGCTTTGGCTTCATAGCCACCAGGCAGGCTTGCTTGGCATCAGGCATGTGAAACATTGGGCCAATCTGCATGTGAGGTCTTGCCATCTCTTGCTTTGGTGCTACAACTGTTGGTGCACAACTTGGCCCAGGACAAGCTTTATAGTTGGTAGGTGCTGCATGGCATCCATGTTGCCCAGGTAGTCCTGTAGGTGCAAACTGTTGGTGACAGCATGCTGTGGGTGCCCCTTGTGCTTGCACCTGCATTGGGTAGCAAGGCTGCATGGTAGCAGGGCCATATTGCATCTGCTGAGTGAGGTGGCATTGCCATTGGCATGCTCAGCCCATACCCTTGCATAGCTTGAGGTTGTAAGGGTAGCCCTTGGTAGATGGTACTCATAGGTGCTGCTGCCATGGCTGGTGGTGTCATAGGTGCTGCCATAGCTGGTGCCACTGGTGGCACACTAAGTTGGATCCTAGGCCTCTTGGCATGGGCCCAGGGTGGTGGAGATGCTTCTCTTTTCATATGCCCAGCCAAACCAGCTTGCAACTCCTTGTCAGGGCATTCTGTGAAGGGATCATACTCAGCACCCTCCTCAGGTTGCACTGGGCCAGCCCCATCCATTGCTGCACTGGTTGGGCTAAGGTCTGTTGATGTTGTGCATGTGCATGGTTTACATCAAGCTTGGAACCATATGTTGTACATTAAATAGTCACCCAAAAATGTCACATGGCTACACAGGCATACATGAATGGCTGGACTGCATGTTGGCAGTGCACCTTTTGATACATACATGTTTGTTGTTTTGTAGGAAATTAAATGCATACATCCCAAGATTGTTGTTTTATAGGCATGGTGTATGCAACCCTTCACCCAACCACTCTGTCAAAAAACACAAGCATTCACAACATTGCATTGCAATAAATCACAAATGAAATGTATTTGCCCAAGTGTGTACATGACACAAGCCACTGCAAGCACTGATATTGGCTCTTCATGCCAAGCCAAGGTATTGGCTAATTTGTCAAGCCATGTTATTGGCTCCTGGCTTAACTGCCACAAAAAGAACATGCCAAGATTGTGGCAAACTTAATTGCCAAACAAAGGCAATGCCAAGGACAAACATGGCAACATCAAAGCACATGGGTGCCACTAAGTGCAAAACTGAAGTGCAGTAAGTATAGCAGGTGAAGCTGCAACACTTTTTCCCCCCTCTGGCTGTGGACTCTGGTGAGACTAGTCTTCCTGCACATCACCAGCATCATCTCCATGTTTTTTGACTTTCCTTTTGGCAGCAACACCCTTATACTTGCCATTTGGCTGGTATGCCTTGACTTCTCTGGGCTGGTGTCACTGCCATGTAAAAAGGAAAACAAATGGGCCAAATTGGCTTCAGTCAGTTCTACTGCCAATGCTTCACTGGTCTTCTTGGCACCCAAGCACCTGATGGTACCACCAGCATCTGGCAAGTCCAGGGTGATCTCTTGGTCCTATTGTGGTGTAGTCTTTCTTCTTTTGGCTGAAGGTTTGTTGGTATCCTTGGCATCTGCAAAAAGGTTTTCTTCCTCAGCAACAAGATTGCTTTTCACATTCCTTTGCTGGACCAGAGCTTCAAAAGCTGCTATGTTCTTCAGGTTGTAGTTCTTGCTCCTATCAAAGGTCTCACCTTGGATAAGTTTGCAAAGGGAGTAGTTGGTAGGAAACAGGAGGAGCCACTCTTTGCCCATCTTCTCTGCAATCATGTTGTCAGGGATTGCCCACTTCTCACCATTCAGCAACATGTAGTGCTGCTTCTTCAGTGCTACATTCATGGCCATGGCAGTAGCTTACCCAAAGTTCACACTTTTCAAAATGGCTGCCATGGTTCAAAGATTTAGGTGCACCCAGCAAGCCAGCTGAACATATCATACAAGCAAGCCAAACACACAGACATATAGCCAAGGGAATGGCTGGAAGATTCAACATTGTCTTGCAAGCAAGTGTCAAAAATAATTCTGTTGTTTTTGCAGCCTCATGTGCACACCAGTTGGTTTCTGTGAACTTGCTTTCAAGTTCGTTTCTTTTTGGCAGGTGGCTGCTTATCAGCATCCATCACCAAGCCAATCTCTTCATGCTTCTGGATGGCAGTGGTGTTCCTCAAGCCTAACACTTTCAGCTTTCCAAAGTCAAGCTGAAATGGTGCCATTTGTCCATCCTCAATTTCTTTCATTTGAAACTATGGCACTAAAGTGGAGTCTGTTGGCCCCTTGGCAATTTTGGGAGGGAGGATCCAAAACATCCTGCCATCCCATTTGCCACTTGCCCAAAGCTTGCTCTTTGGCTCAGAAAACTGGATGGCAGCCACTTGGTCACACATTGACACCAGAATCAAGTCATGCTTCTTGATGGGATGCAAGGCAAAGACCTTGAGACCTTTGCCAGGCACACTCACAAACTTGATGGTATTCTCATCAGTGTCCTTCTCTTCATACAGCTGGGACAAACCCTGGAAAATTGTGCCTCTCACCAGTTCATCTTGGCATGTCACACTGGGAAATGTTTTGGCCAAAGCACCACCTTCAATAACATAGCCATCTTTCTGTTTGGTGGCCTTCAGCTTCTCCATGATCTCATTGCCTTCCAACTTCAAATCTGTCTTTTGCCCAGAAACCAAATCCTGGGAAGACAGGTATGCATAGGTGTCATCCTTGTTGTCCATGATGAAGATCTTGCTGGGGTGATCCTTGTGGCAATAAGCCGCATGCCCAACTTTCAAAGGTACTTTCAAGTTGGCCATGAAGAGTGGGCTTTGGCCATCTACCAAAGACACAGCATCTTCCTTCTTGGATGAAGAATGCATCTGCAAGGCTTGTGGCTGGTGCTGCTGAGGCATTGCCTTCAGGTCTTCTGTGAATGCATCCCCTGATTTCTTGAAGGTTGGCAAATTCAGTTGTATCTCTTCCAGACTTCTCCTTGGACAAAAGGTGAAGGGTAGTTCTCAAGCACAACCTTCCAAACACCTTGTTCTTCTCAAAGGTGGCCATGGGATTGGCCTGCATGTTGTCCCAGCATTGTGACAGCATCTTCTCCGCATCAACAACCTTGCCTTGGTACTTCTTGCCTTTGAGCATCTGGATGTCTCCCTTGGTCACAAACCTGGAAAAATTGTCTACCCTCTTGCTTTCTGGGCATGAGACTTGGGTTGCCAGGATTGCAATCTTGACAAACACAGTCATGTTGGTGGGGACAAGCTCAGTGTCCAACAGGCTGGAAAAGAAGTCCTTTCCAACAAAGCAGGAATTATCCAAACTGCTTTTGGAACTCTTGTGCAAACTTGATGAGAGGGTACTGTGATTCCTGAAGTTGTGTGACATGTCAACCTTGGTTCATCTTGCAGCTACCGCTGCACTTTGGCTGGAGAGACTCGAGGGTTACGTCGTGCCACGCATTCTGGGAAAGGGTGAGTACGGTGTGCGATCGGAAGGTCCTGTTGACGTTTGTTTCGAGCCCAAGTTCACTAAGTTCATAGCTGGTGGCGCGGAGCCGGGTTTTCCGGCCAGGGAAGTTTTTCGGCAGCCATGTCTAATGGGAGACAATGGCAGGGTCGCCGAAATCAAGATGATGAGGAAGAAGAAGATGAATCGAATGTTAGCAGCAGCACTGGCAGGACGAGCAGGTCAACGAACAATGACCACAGGAAAGGCGCAGTTGGTCCACCTCCATCATACGATGGCAATCGTGAAGCTGGAGTTTTTGAAGAGTTCAGGATCAGAGCCAAGTTGTGGCTTTACTCAACCAATGTGGAGAGCCGTGCAAGAGGCCCTAGGCTATTGGAGGCCTTGTCAGGCAAGGCTTTTGAGAGCGTACGTCATCTCATAGATGATGCTGAATGGTTGGAGGCTCCCGACAATGGAGAACAGTTGCTGGAACTCTTGTCGAAGCCTGAATACTATAGCAAGGAAGAGCTAGAGAGTTTGTATCAGTCAATGCACAAGCTTTTCTACTCAGATCTGAGAAAAGATGATGATGACCTCCCAGCATTTCGCTCTCGTTTTGATCAGGCCGTTCGCAAGATCAAGAAGCATCGAGTTGAATTACCACAGGAAGCACTTGGATTCCTGTTCCTGAAACAATCTAGGATCAATGCCGAGTCCTTTGAGCGCCTCATCACCCTCACCAATGGTGACTTGAAGCTGGATGCCGTTGTGGAAGGATTGAGACGTCTGAAAATGAAGCTTTTGGAGGGTGACGAGGCCACTTTGGCCAAGAAACGTCATCTGTGGGTCCAGGAATGCATGGATGATACAATTCCAGAGGCTCCAGGTGATGTTCACAGTGATGATGAGGACATTGAACTGATTCAGCCATGGTGAAGACAGCAAGAAGGCATAGAAACACTAAGCTAATGCTATGCATATGGGTTGGCATGGTTTGTTTGAGAAGGCAATGCTGCAACCAAGTGGCATTGCAAATGTGTGGCTTCTGTCAAGCACTACAAGTTGCAGTGCAGTTGCCCCTTTTCCCCCAAACCCCAGGTTCAGTTGCTCTCAGAATTTTAAGCTGTTGGGTACCAGCAACAGCATGCAAAAGCAGCAAACAATTGGCACATATCAAATTGTGTAGCTTTGCTACAAAAGATTCATTCAGTGGCCTCCAGGCCTTTTCTTGGCTGCATCCCAAGTGGCTCCTGCCTGCTTCAAAAACTTTCTGCCATACTCCTTGGCATCATCCTCTGACATCTTCAAGTGGATCCTGGCATGCACCCTGGCCTTGCTGTAGTGCCTGCTCACATACACATTCCTGGCAACTTCCAAATCCTGCTTCTCAAGGTCAGGCAGGATGTACTGAGTGGAGCCAGCATTGCCAGAAGCTTGGCCATGGCCATGCTCAGAAGGTCCCATTGCAGCAGCAGGCCTCTTCAAGGGTGCTTTTGCCTTTGCTTTGGGCTTCTTCTCCTTGCCATTCTTCTTGGTCACTTGTGCATCTTTCTTACCCTGGGCTTTGGTGCCCTTTTCCTTTTTCTTGTCACTGGCCCTGGCTTTCAAAGCATCAAAAGTAGCATTTTCATAGTCCTCAGCTGAAGTGCCCAAGTGCTCATCATTGTGCTGTTGGCATTCCACTGGCAGCCTGACTTGGGGTTCTGGTGGCTGGGTGGCAGCATGCTTGTCTTCAAGTGCCAATGCAGCTTGCCTTGGCTTTGGCTGGAAGTCTTCCAAAGCCTGTTTCTGCTTGCCAGGTGACAGCTTGATGCTGCTAGAGACTGTGGGTGAAGCCATTGGCTGTGACCCATTGCCTTGCATGTAGCCCATGTGCTCTTTCATGGATTGGAAGAAGTTGGACATTTGCATCATCATTCCACACATAGCTTCAGCCTGCATAGCATTGCTGCCACTTCCAGAGCTGACATGCCCTTGGTCTGGCTGGCTAGATGCAGAAGGGGTCTGTGTAGCCTTCTCCCTCAGAAGCTTGCTTGTGGACCTCAGTGCAATGTGCTTCAGAATGGGCTTGATTTGCTCCAGCTGCTTGGGTGATGGCATCTTGCCATGGTAAGCTGCTTCTGCAAGCTCACTTGGCAGCTGAGTGTGGTTCTCTGGGAATTCCTTGACATAGGGCAAGGCATCAATGCCTTCACAGGTTGTGGACATGAAAGTTGATTTCAAGTCCTGGGCCATCTGGTTGATCAAGGTATGATCTGGAAGTTTGGCCACATGGCACAAGAGGATTGCCACACCATGCTTGGCAGTCTGCTCATGCAGGCTTCTAATCCCCAAAGACCTCCACCTTTGGGCTACACAGTTCAACTTGGCAATGTAGCTGGCATCAGGGGAACCAATGGTGTCCCAATCAGAGTGGGCCAGGTAGTTCTGAAGGTGGATCAACTTGTGTGGTTTCACAGCCACAGGCATGGCATTGGTGGTAGCCCCTGCAGCCAAGGCAGTGTCAATGCTGTTTCTCAAGACATCCTTGTAATCATTCTCCAAGTTGGTGCCCTTCAAGCAGTCATACAAGCTTTGGGCTTCAGCAATGGAGCACACTAAGCTGCCCTGGATCTTCTTGGACAAGTTGCCAACCAAAGCTGCTTCTTTGGCTTTGTCAGCACATGTAACAGCATTGTTGAGGCTTTCTCTTCTTGCATTGATCAAGCCACTCACAGCACTGAGCTCTTTCTTCAAATCAACAACATTCATAGCTCTAACTCACTGCAAACTAAATTGCACCAGGAGGGATGCCTGGAGCCCATACACCCTGACAGCCACACAGCCCTTGCATCAATGCAACAAGCAAACTTATGCAACATGCTTTGCAAACCATTGCAGTGGTTGGATCTGAGTCATTGATGGGTGGTGCAAACACATGCTTCTTCACATGCCAGGAGCCTTGGCAAGCCATACATCTAGGCTCATGGCAATGTATATCATTGACATGCAGCCATGTTTGACTGGCTCACAGCCATGGCCTGTGGCTCAAACCTAGTGATCTTTTGGCTTATTGCCATGGCTATTGGCATTTTTTTGATAGCCAGAAATATTGGCTGATAGTCAATGTTTCTTTTTGGCTAGCAACACCAACAAGAATGTGCAATGTACTTGAACAATTTTTTAAAAAACACAGTAGGCTCAAGATTGGATGCTTGGTTTCATTCAAACCAAAGTATTTTCTTCAAGCATGGAGACCATAGCGACATAGTGAGCAGCAGTGCAGCACTGTGTTCCTTAGGCCACCATCAAAACTCAAGTGAATGAGGATTCATTCCCAAAAAATGTAACCAAATCATATGCTTTGTGAATAAATATTCCTGAACAATATGCACATTGGAAATTCAAAATTTGAATTTACTATAATATTTGTTGAACCTAAATTCAAAATTTGAATTTAATGCATCCAAACAAGGTATCTAAATTCAAAATTTGAATTTAAATGCTCAAAAAGGAGCTGCAAATTCAAATTTTGAATTTTAAGCACCAAAAAACAGCCTTAAATTCAAAATTTGAATTTATATGCAACAAATGCATTTTCAAGTTCTAAACTCCAAACCATTGACACACAAGAAAAAATATAGTGAAACTAAACATTTTTTGGCCAAGTCACATTGACTTTTGGCTCTGGCAACCAACTCCCTGAACTTGTGGTTGGTCATGAACCTCATGGATTGCACAGTGCTTGGAACATATTGGAAGACACCACCAAAAACATTTTTTCATTATTTTGTAAGAACAGCAATCTGAACACACCAAACTCAACTAATAGATGAGCCATGTCAAGCAACTTGGAGCATAGTGCAGAACACCTGTCCCAGTTCTCTGCCAAGTAGGCTTCCACAAGGTAGGCAGCCTTCATTTCCCACCCCTTGTTGAACTGAGGGTTCCACAACTTGTTTTTTCCTTTCTCCTTGCCATGGCCCTTCTTGTATCCCTTGTTGGCATTCCATTCCTTTTCATGGCCATAGGAGCTATCAGTCACCCACTCCTTGGACTCCTGGTCATTAGTGCCATATTCATGCTCATCATTCTTGCATTCCTTGGTGTCATAGCCATACCCATAGTTCCAACTATCATCCCAGTCATCTTCCTGCCATTCCTCTTTGGTGTCATTTGAGTAGTAAGTTTCCCACTCTTGGCCTTTTTGACTTGCACCCCTGACAGACCATGACTGTCTCCACTTGCCCCAGTCCTCTTCATCATCATAGGTTTGGTCATGTTCTTCTGGACTGTCATGCACTTCATATGCCTCCACTTTCACAGGCATGCTTCCAGGCTCACTGGCAGCTGTGGGTGCATGACCTTCCACTGGCATACTTTTGGGTGGTGGAGTCTTTGGTGGCCTGGGTGTCAGAAGCTTTGGCTTCATAGCCACCAGGCAGGCTTGCTTGGCATCAGGCATGTGAAACATTGGGCCAATCTGCATGTGAGGTCTTGCCATCTCTTGCTTTGGTGCTACAACTGTTGGTGCACAACTTGGCCCAGGACAAGCTTTATAGTTGGTAGGTGCTGCATGGCATCCATGTTGCCCAGGTAGTCCTGTAGGTGCAAACTGTTGGTGACAGCATGCTGTGGGTGCCCCTTGTGCTTGCACCTGCATTGGGTAGCAAGGCTGCATGGTAGCAGGGCCATATTGCATCTGCTGAGTGAGGTGGCATTGCCATTGGCATGCTCAGCCCATACCCTTGCATAGCTTGAGGTTGTAAGGGTAGCCCTTGGTAGATGGTACTCATAGGTGCTGCTGCCATGGCTGGTGGTGTCATAGGTGCTGCCATAGCTGGTGCCACTGGTGGCACACTAAGTTGGATCCTAGGCCTCTTGGCATGGGCCCAGGGTGGTGGAGATGCTTCTCTTTTCATATGCCCAGCCAAACCAGCTTGCAACTCCTTGTCAGGGCATTCTGTGAAGGGATCATACTCAGCACCCTCCTCAGGTTGCACTGGGCCAGCCCCATCCATTGCTGCACTGGTTGGGCTAAGGTCTGTTGATGTTGTGCATGTGCATGGTTTACATCAAGCTTGGAACCATATGTTGTACATTAAATAGTCACCCAAAAATGTCACATGGCTACACAGGCATACATGAATGGCTGGACTGCATGTTGGCAGTGCACCTTTTGATACATACATGTTTGTTGTTTTGTAGGAAATTAAATGCATACATCCCAAGATTGTTGTTTTATAGGCATGGTGTATGCAACCCTTCACCCAACCACTCTGTCAAAAAACACAAGCATTCACAACATTGCATTGCAATAAATCACAAATGAAATGTATTTGCCCAAGTGTGTACATGACACAAGCCACTGCAAGCACTGATATTGGCTCTTCATGCCAAGCCAAGGTATTGGCTAATTTGTCAAGCCATGTTATTGGCTCCTGGCTTAACTGCCACAAAAAGAACATGCCAAGATTGTGGCAAACTTAATTGCCAAACAAAGGCAATGCCAAGGACAAACATGGCAACATCAAAGCACATGGGTGCCACTAAGTGCAAAAGTGAAGTGCAGTAAGTATAGCAGGTGAAGCTGCAACACTTTTTCCCCCCTCTGGCTGTGGACTCTGGTGAGACTAGTCTTCCTGCACATCACCAGCATCATCTCCATGTTTTTTGACTTTCCTTTTGGCAGCAACACCCTTATACTTGCCAGTTGGCTGGTATGCCCTGGACTTCTCTGGGCTGGTGTCACTGCCATGTAAAAAGGAAAACAAATGGGCCAAATTGGCTTCAGTCAGTTCTACTGCCAATGCTTCACTGGTCTTCTTGGCACCCAAGCACCTGATGGTACCACCAGCATCTGGCAAGTCCAGGGTGATCTCTTGGTCCTCTTGTGGTGTAGTCTTTCTTCTTTTGGCTGAAGGTTTGTTGGTATCCTTGGCATCTGCAAAAAAGGTTTTCTTCCTCAGCAACAAGATTGCTTTTCACATTCCTTTGCTGGACCAGAGCTTCAAAAGCTGCTATGTTCTTCAGGTTGTAGTTCTTGCTCCTATCAAAGGTCTCACCTTGGATAAGTTTGCAAAGGGAGTAGTTGGTAGGAAACAGGAGGAGCCACTCTTTGCCCATCTTCTCTGCAATCATGTTGTCAGGGATTGCCCATTTCTCACCTTTCAGCAACATGTAGTGCTGCTTCTTCAGTGCTACATTCATGGCCATGGCAGTAGCTTACCCAAAGTTCACACTTTGCAAAATGGCTGCCATGGTTCAAAGATTTAGGTGCACCCAGCAAGCCAGCTGAACATATCATACAAGCAAGCCAAACACACAGACATATAGCCAAGGGAATGGCTGGAAGATTCAACATTGTCTTGCAAGCAAGTGTCAAAAACAATTCTGTTGTTTTTTTTCAGCTTCATGTGCGCACCAGTTGGTTTCTGTGAACTTGCTTTCAAGTTCGTTTCTTTTTGGCAGGTGGCTGCTTATCAGCATCCATCACCAAGCCAATCTCTTCATGCTTCTGGATGGCAGTGGTGTTCCTCAAGCCTAACACTTTCAGCTTTCCAAAGTCAAGCTGAAATGGTGCCATTTGTCCATCCTCAATTTCTTTCATTTGAAAATATGGCACTAAAGTGGAGTCTGTTGGCTCCTTGGCAATTTTGGGAGGGAGGATCCAAAACATCCTGCCATCCCATTTGCCACTTGCCCAAAGCTTGCTCTTTGGCTCAGAAAACTGGATGGCAGCCACTTGGTCACACACTGGCACCAGAATCAAGTCATGCTTCTTGATGGGATGCAAGGCAAAGACCTTGAGACCTTTGCCAGGCACACTCACAAACTTGATGGTATTCTCACCAGTGTCCTTCTCTTCATACAGCTGGAACAAACCCTGGAAAATTGTGCCTCTCACCAGTTCATCTTGGCATGTCACACTGGGAAATGTTTTGGCTAAAGCACCACCTTCAATAACATAGCCATCTTTCTGTTTGGTGGCCTTCAGCTTCTCCATGATCTCATTGCCTTCCAACTTCAAATCTGTCTTTTGCCCAGAAACCAAATCCTGGGAAGACAGGTATGCATAGGTGTCATCCTTGTTGTCCATGATGAAGATCTTGCTGGGGTGATCCTTGTGGCAATAAGCCGCATGCCCAACTTTCAAAGGTACTTTCAAGTTGGCCATGAAGAGTGGGCTTTGGCCATCTACCAAAGACACAGCATCTTCCTTCTTGGATGAAGAATGCATCTGCAAGGCTTGTGGCTGGTGCTGCTGAGGCATTGCCTTCAGGTCTTCTGTGAATGCATCCCCTGATTTCTTGAAGGTTGGCAAATTCAGTTGTATCTCTTCCAGACTTCTCCTTGGACAAAAGGTGAAGGGTAGTTCTCAAGCACAACCTTCCAAACACCTTGTTCTTCTCAAAGGTGGCCATGGGATTGGCCTGCATGTTGTCCCAGCATTGTGACAGCATCTTCTCCGCATCAACAACCTTGCCTTGGTACTTCTTGCCTTTGAGCATCTGGATGTCTCCCTTGGTCACAAACCTGGAAAAATTGTCTACCCTCTTGCTTTCTGGGCATGAGACTTGGGTTGCCAGGATTGCAATCTTGACAAACACAGTCATGTTGGTGGGGACAAGCTCAGTGTCCAACAGGCTGGAAAAGAAGTCCTTTCCAACAAAGCAGGAATTATCCAAACTGCTTTTGGAACTCTTGTGCAAACTTGATGAGAGGGTACTGTGATTCCTGAAGTTGTGTGACATGTCAACCTTGGTTCATCTTGCAGCTACCGCTGCACTTTGGCTGGAGAGACTCGAGGGTTACGTCATGCCATGCATTCTGGGAAAGGGTGCGTACGGTGTGCGATCGGAAGGTCGTGTTGACGTTTGTTTCGAGCCCAAGTTCACTAAGTTCATAGCTGGTGGCGCGGAGCCGGGTTTTCCGGCCAGGGAAGTTTTTCGGCAGCCATGTCTAATGGGAGACAATGGCAGGGTCGCCGAAATCAAGATGATGAGGAAGAAGAAGAAGATGAATCGAATGTTAACAGCAGCACTGGCAGGACGAGCAGGTCAACGAACAATGACCACAGGAAAGGCGCAGTTGGTCCACCTCCATCATACGATGGCAATCGTGAAGCTGGAGTTTTTGAAGAGTTCAGGATCAGAGCCAAGCTGTGGCTTTACTCAACCAATGCGGATCATTTCATAGATGATGCTGAATGGTTGGAGGCTCCCGACAATGGAGAACAGTTGCTGGAACTCTTGTCGAAGCCTGAATACTATAGCAAGGAAGAGCTAGAGAGTTTGTATCAGTCAATGCACAAGCTTTTCTACTCAGATCTGAGAAAAGATGATGATGACCTCCCAGCATTTCGCTCTCGTTTTGATCAGGCCGTTCGCAAGATCAAGAAGCATCGAGTTGAATTACCACAGGAAGCACTTGGATTCCTGTTCCTGAAACAATCTAGGATCAATGCCGAGTCCTTTGAGCGCCTCATCACCCTCACCAATGGTGACTTGAAGCTGGATGCCGTTGTGGAAGGATTGAGACGTCTGAAAATGAAGCTTTTGGAGGGTGACGAGGCCACTTTGGCCAAGAAACGTCATCTGTGGGTCCAGGAATGCATGGATGATACAATTCCAGAGGCTCCAGGTGATGTTCACAGTGATGATGAGGACATTGAACTCATCGAGCAAGCCCTTGCGGATCTGGACGGAGACGATGTCGTTTCCAAAGCATCTGAGGTTAGTGAAGATGGTGCCAAAGAGATTCTGATGACGCTGATCAAGCAGAAGATCCAGAAGCCCATGTCGATGTCATACCGTCAGGTGCAGCAGCAGAAAAGAGATGTGAAGACCGCCAGAGGGTTTCGTCCAGTGAATAGTGGGGGGAATTATGGTAGTGGGGTAACTATGAGGAGGGATCTTCAACAACTGAAGTCAGTAACCCGCTGTAAGGCATGTGGAGAACTAGGACATTGGCACAAAGAATGTCCTCAGAAACAAAACAATCAAAGCAAGATCCCGAACAGCTCATCTGGAGCTGCCTCAGCCAGTGCCTCGCATGGATGGTGGTCTCTTGTACAGCCAGTAGAAGAGTCAGGTACCACCCAAGATGCCAGTTCGTCCAGCCGGTTGCAATCCAGTAATGAATAGGAAACATGTCCCATGGTCTTGTGGACAACTGATGTTAAGGTGAATAACAACAGTAGGACTATGGGATTTGGCAATTTTTCACCAGATATGCAGAAAGCAATCCGTCATGTTTGCCAAGTGTTTCCAGCTGGATTTGCTGCATCCGATCGTAGCCATGCACAACCCCTCGAGTCACAGCACTCAGTTGACAATGCAGCCGATGTAGCGAGCCGTGAGCAACCATTTGCCACTTATCACTACTGCACCAGAGAAAGCTATGCCGTGATTGACACTGGATGCCAAAGATCAGCCATCGGTAGGAATACCCTGGACAACATTGCATCCAGACTCCCAGAAGAACTTCCTATTAAGTTTGTCAATCAAAAATTTAAGTTCTCTGGTATTGGAGGTGAAACAGTGACAACTCGTGTTGCCTTAATTCCCGTGTGCTTCGGGCAGAGACCTGGAATGGTCAGAGCAGCCGTGTTGGAGGACACTCCAAACGCTCCTTTTCTTTTGTCGCTGCCGATCCTGAAGGCCTTGAACACCATTTTGCAATTGAGTGAACAGAGTTTGCAATTTCAAGCCATCAATGAAGCAGGTAGCATGTTTTACAATGAAAAGGGTCAACTCTGCCTGAGACTTTTTGACTTTGAAGCCATGCCAACTTGCCCGAATGAAGCTTCAGATCGTTGGCAGGTCAGAAAAATCATCGGGGATGAGTGTCACGTGTTCATGCTGCAGTCGTCAAGTGAGGTTTCAACTTTGGGGAATACTATTGAAGTCAATCAAAACAATCCAGAATCATCAAAATGTCAAGAGAATCATGATCAGGGAATAGCTAAGGGTAGCTATGAGTCTCGTCATGACTCATGTCAAGACCACGCCAGTTTTCAGCCGTGTGCTGTCAGCCCTGTACAGCCTTCCAAGAGTATCCAATCAGGTTCAACAGGTCACAGTTTTGAATCACCAGGTGCCAGTTGTGAATCACAGTTGCCACGACAAGCATCGAACTTTGCAGAGACTCCAGTGACCAGAGCCACGCCTTGCGGTAGTAGTCATGGAAGCCGTCGACAATGTCCGAGCCAACAAGAGGGCTTGCACATCTCATGCCGAGACGGAGCCCCAGTATGTGTCCACATGGCTTCGCATGAGCAACAAGCTACGCCTGCAAGAACATCTTCAGACGACTCTGAAGTGTGCCGTGGGATTGGCCATTCCATTGATGAACTTGCTGATGCGAGTACTGGCAATGGTGATGCAAGTGGCCGAGATGGAAGAGATCGACACAGTTCAAGATATGATGAGTCAGATGATTCAAGACAAGAAGAAGCAGGAGAAGGGTCACAAGTTGAGCCATCGCTCAATGTCGAACCTGACAAAGAGTCAACAAGGATGTCCCAAAACCAAGTCCAGCAGCCTGGGAAGTTTCTCCGTGGTGAGTGCCGAGACATTGGACACTCTGATGTCGCATCAGAGTCAAGACATGGAGTATCCAGGATCATCAAGTTCCAAACAAGCCATGATGCAGACCAATGTCAAGATGGACAAATGTTACTGCGGAATGAAACCAGTGAAGTACACGTGCAGGAAGCAGGGAAACAACTACATGCGTCAATTCTATCGATGTCCGCAGGAACCCAACAGCCAGAAGCAGTGCCACTTTTTCCAGTGGATTCGGGAGACCAAGGGCGAGGAGTACGAAAGGCTGTATGCTACTTCACCCAACAGTCAGAAGCAGCCGTTCGAGGCAGTCCCAGGGGATCTACGTCTCCTCCACCTCGACCTCAGGAGTGTCATCACCAATGGAACAAAAGAGGCACCAATGCGCACATCAAGATGAAAACCTGCACCCTATGTGGACTTCAAGAGATCACCCAGCGCAAGACGGATGTGGTCACTCAGCGTTGGATCAATCCAAGCTCTCTCAAGAAGTCAGGACGACCTCGTGCAGTGAGCCCATGACTCTGAAAGCCGGACAGAGAAAACATGTGTTGGGTGAGATTCAAAAGGCTATCGATCATCTGGAACAATCATCAACTGATGGACATGATAGGGACAATGGAGATAACGAAGTTTTCAAAGATCATGTCGTTCTTCAAGAACTTTTTCACTTGAAGTTGATTGGTGAAGTGTTCAGCCCTGATCGATTTACGCAGATCACCCAAACATGGTATGCAGCCTGGAAAGGCATTCGATCTTCGCCTGGGTCATCAGTTTCTATGCCCAAAACAAAGACGGAAATGTTTGGATCATGTGCTCAACAATTCATATGATTTGATTGTGGTCACTCCTCCTTGCACTATGTTCTCTATGTTGCAATATTTAGGTTTGGGCAAATCAAAAGAAAGCTGTATGAATGATCCAGAGTTCCAGCGAAGATATCATGAAGCCTGCGTCTTGCTGAACTTCGCAGTGCTCATTTGCAGCATCCAATCTCGTCGTGGTCGATATTTTCTGTTTGAGCAGCCATGGAATGCAGTATCATGGAAGGAAGCTTGTGTCAGAAAGTTGCTGAATGCCTCAGCCACGCACCTGGTAAGGACTGATCAGTGTATGTTTGGTCAAAAAGATTTTGCCAATAATCCTATTAGAAAGAGGACTGGCTTTCTCACCAATCATGCGTCCATAGCAGCAGCCTTGAGAAGAACATGCAAAGGCCTTCACAAACATCAGCCGTGTGTAGGTGCATGTCAGGGTAAGCAACGTGCAAACCAAGCCGCTCACTATCCAAATGCTCTCATTGATGCCGTTCTCCGTGCGTTTGCCAGAGCTCCACCGACCAGAGATGAGCCACGTGATGTGGAGATCAGTTCCATTCACTGGACTCAGTCGTGTCCTGACGGATCCACCAGAGATGTTAAGTACTCACATGTTTTCCATAGCAGCAGGCATCCAACAGAGCCACAGCAGATTGCCTTGACGGTTAATCCGACAGAACGACATGTCCAGTTCTTGGATGAGCCATTGGTTGAACAATTCGCTGTCGATGCGGTTGCAAATGTGGAAGCCAGCATTTCCAGTCAGCCTGTAACCGATGAAGAGTCTCAAGCTGTTGAACAGTTGGCACCAGATCAACGTAGGACCTTGCGTAATGAAGTTGCCAAGGCACATCGTGGCATGCGCCACCCAAATCACGATAGGTTCTTGCGGATCTTGAGACTTGGCGGTGCATCGCTGGCTACAATTGGAATTGCAAAGACATTTGTATGCTCTCAATGCAAAGAAGATACCAGACCTAAGCCATGGAGATGTGCAGCACCACCACGTGAACTCGAGTTTAACCAAGTGGTAGGAGTGGATACAGTAACCATCAAACATCATGATGTTAGCATTAAGTGTCTTAACATAGTTTGCTGGGGAACTCGATATCAGATGATAATTCCACTCTCAGGCCTGACTGCAGCTCATGTGCGAAGTGCATACCGTAACTGGGTCAAATTGTTTGGTCCACCAAGGGTCATAAAGCCGGATATGGGATCCGAGTTCATGGGAGCTTTCATGTATAGATCTTCCACTGATGGATCTGAAGTAGACATCAGCAGTTTGGAGAGTCCAACACAGAACTCAATCACTGAACGCGAAGGTGGCTCTTTCAAAACAATGTTCAACAAGGCCAGTTTGGACTA